AGCAAAATAAATACATTTACAGTACTCCACAAGCTTTCATACCAAACCCTAAACTTTTTAGTGATAAACGGCATTAGTTTAATATAAATACCTTTGTCCTGTCTTATGATGTATAATACATTGTATTATTTACAATAAAATGAACGTTATAATTATGTTTTTATACGGCAGATTTTTCTTCAAAATTTATTCAACAATAACACTATAAATCAGCGTATTCACAAATTATTAAAATAAAAAATGCGGCTGAAATGACAGTGGATTTTATTAGAAAATAAGATCCCAAAGTCTTATTTACATGAGCGTCAATTTTTTTCGATAATGATTTTGAAAGTATTCTATAAGCCATTTTTATACGAATGATCCACAAAGTGGAAATATCACTTTGAAAGTAACGCTAAATTTAATAAACAAAAGCACTACGCATATACTCGCCCTATGCAGAAAACAATTGAATTCATATAACACATAAAAACATTATCACTAATTATAAATAGTCCGTATCAATTGCAAGGACAAATAAAAAGAAATAATTTCCGACAATAGAAATTCGACAAGGTTGCACGAATCATACTCACTCATTTCATTTACGACTAGAAGTGATTAAAAAATGAATGGAATGATTGCTTGGCGATGTTTTGGATAATTTGGAAATTCGCGCATATAATTACGGTGTTTACCTTTTGCCCATATGGCCATTTGGTAAAATCCCGCAAAGGTAAAAATGAGTGCTGCAAATATAAATCAGTTAAGTACAGGAAAAATCTCTTTGATTTTTTAAACATAAATCAAATAAAGTAATATATTTCAAGACAAACTATATAAACATCTCATAAATAAACTGACAAGCCGGGACGAATTGATAACGCGAGAATAAAAAGTATTTGATTTCACTTCTGTATTAAAAAAAGCGGAAAAAAAGACAAACCTGGTAATGACTGGGTCATACATGAAAACCAAAACCACGATCCCACCTCGTACGTGTAATTGGGACAGCTTACGAAGTTGAACATTAGTGTCATCGGGTTGGCATTTGGCATTGGAATTTTGCGAACTTTAGTACCAGGAGGGCGTAAGTTTCTCAAAAGCAGATGAGTCGATAGATTACCTACAAAACAGACATACCATTTATTTGATGAAAGAAAAGAGAACAATAACACTAGTGTCGCGAAAGTCGCGAAATTTCAAGAATATTATAAATGGTCAAGTGTTTATAGATATATATACATATATATTCATAGATGTAATATTACTCTGTCTTAATACAAGTTCATACGCGTCAATGATAATGTCCCTGTTTAAACCAATAACACAATCAAATGAATCATTTTTTACTTGCATATTCGTCCCCATCCTTGCCTCCAATTATTGTACTACATGATCTTCCTTTCTCTTATATCCTCCAATATCTCTCCTTATTTTCCCGCG